GCAAAAGGTCGAGGCGGGGGGGGGGTGGGGGACAGAAGAGTAATTCACAGAAGTAAAAGGGACAAACGCAAAGGTTGAGAAAAAGATAAATTTGAGTACTGTGGAACTGGTCGAATATGTCATAGAGTCGGGTCATGGTCGTTTGTAGTTAACTGTCGGTTTATAGACCCTTTTGTTGTAAGGGTCTACTTTGCCCAGGATGCACCACACGGAGGTAGTCTATCGCGCGCTCCCTCCCGTGTGTAGTAGGATAGTCTTGAATCGAAAATACCTATTCAAGGATATAGTATGTTTGTCCCTATTTTTATATAATTGAATTGGGTTTTAAACGATTGATTTGGCCAAGCAAATGGTGTAATTCAAAAGCGCATTTGTAATTAAATCACGCCCATAAAGGTCTAAACTTACTTTTGGTATATTTTTGTATACTGATTTAATAAATTAAGATAAAATAAATTTTAAATGACGTAGTTAAACTAAATGGCTCTTTTTTCCATTCATTCAAGATGTTTTGTAGCCTCTGTTAAACGTTCAGAACGTTTGGCAGAGGAGAAGCGGGGCTTTGAAAAGCTCGTCTCGGATAAACAAAACAAGGAGAAAGCGGAAGAAGTACGACAAACTCTCGGGGAATTGAAATCCGTTGAAAGTGGTGATGGGCGCACAATTGTGCCGAAAGTTCGAACTGGTGCTGCAATCAACAGTAAGTGTCTAATTTACCTTTTTCATTCACCAGGTAAAGGTACATTCCGTCAATGAGTAATGCAGCATTATTGAATCGCATGTCCAACGAATGCCTAGCATTTTAAAATGGCAGTTGAATCAAGGACATCGTCTTGTTTATTGTTTATTTCCATGCATTCATTCCCACAATAAGTTTGTTATGTTTTCAGGCGTATTTAGAGTTATTCGGATCTTATTTGGTTTAGTATTGACCATTTATTGCGATTTCCTCCAGATTCTATCGGATTTCTAGTGCTAGTCTCTTTCTGAAAGGGACTGTCTCTAATTTTCATTTTTCCCCTGTTACTTGTTGGAAAGAAAACCTCACTTCGACATTTGTGTTCATTACTCGCCCCTTTCTGACTTTTCTTAATTAAATTACCGTAGCATAGACTTTGTAACTTAAATCTAATTCTCTCTAAATTTTTAGCTCAACGACAGGGTCTGCGTGGTCTAAGACCATGTCTTCAAGACGCTCCCGTCCAACAAAAGCCTCTGCCGGGTCTTCAAATTCTGCATGATCCTGTCACACCAAGTGACCTGCCCAATCTAGCCAGCGTTCAACCAATCAGCGGTAGCGCGGCAGCCATTGGGAAAACACTGTCACGCCTTGCTGATCCAGTGACCTCTTGGAATGTTGAGAATGTCAAGGCACCTAGCGTTAGGGTAACTTTGGGCTGATTAATTGTCCTGAAATGAGTTTTTACTTTTAATTTGGCCCCATATGTGTCTCAGCGGTGAATTGCTTATATTAACTGGTTGGGGGTGTTGTTTACCGCTGCTCCATTAAGCGGCTTCTCACCTCTCGTGCCTTCCATCTGTTTACTTTTAAGATGTTTATCGGAAAGTGAAAAGGTCGTGCTTTTAATCTTGACCTAGTTGGTGGAATTTGTCGGTTTTGCGCTTCTATAGGTGGCTCAAACCCTAAAGTAAGTGGCGAATCTCAGACTCAACACGCCTCTTGGGCAAAAGATAAGCATTTTGGAGTTCCTTTTATGAGAACCATATGCTCTATCCTACATTTTATATATTTGTTGACATCTCTGCTCTTTTAATTTCTTCTGAAATGGATGCAGTTAGTCCCTCGGTAAACGTAGCTCCAGACCTTGGAGTCTGAGCTTTGTCTAGAGGTGAAAAACTCCGAGTCACTCTTCGTTTTTACTTATACATGGGACGAACCACTCCAGACAACTTGGAAGTTAGTCTAACCAACATCTCTCATCGATCCAGCGTTGGGTTGACCCTCAAATGTATATTTAACGTAATGCTAATGATAAATATCATTAAGTCTACCATTTGAAATAATACTAATATTTGACGAAGAAGTCTTGTAATCACATAGATTGACTTTGGTAAACTAATAAGGTAACAGTCTTCCCTCCGGAGGTGGGGAAGATATGTCCTTACAGTATCCATGTCATAATGACAGAAACTACTACAACTGTGTTAGCTGAATTGCACAAACGGGAAATCTTTCTTGAATTCTTGCTGTTCAAAAATTACTGATTTGTTTAATCAAACATGCGTAGTTAACCTATTTCTACATCCATTGTTAGCTTACCTCGGGAAATATTTCTACTTAAAATGGCGATAGCTAGCTTATAGCTTGCTTGTTCGCACTTGCATAAATCAAATCAAATCAAATCAGCTTTTTCGGTAAGTCGATTCAAGTTTTTGAATAGTTTTGCTAGGCCATAAGACACGTAGTTTTCTGAATTATGGGTAACGTGCTGTGATAACCAATGGATTCGAAAGTTAGATACTTCAAATACTTGAGAACATGCCAAGATAAGCAGAAAGTAATGAAACTTAGGAACCAGGTATTCACCTGCAAAATTGCTAAATTGTCACGTTAACGTTAAGGCAACTAGTTCAAATGCGAAGCTTTGAGAGTGGCTAATGAAACTCCAGACAGTCGGCCAAGTATGAATCGAATTTTTTGGGTTATTTCGCATTTTGTCTTCGTTTTTCTCAAGTTCCTCTTTTGTATGAAAAAAAACAGTTAAGGCTTATTAGCAATTAACTTGGCTGAATTCGAAAATGTAGGGTTAATTTTTTATAAGAGATCACTCATTACAGAGACGAGGCGTGTATTTTCTTAGGTTTCTAATGAGAGTTATGTCGCAATGAACAATTAAACACGCGCATTCATCCTACCGGCATGTGAATTTAATTAAATCGACTCTATAACTTCGCTAGCAAGCAAAAAATAGTTCCTATTTGGTTGTTTCTAATGGGAGTTCGTTTGATTGCCTTTTTTTGTTAATTCGCTTTAACTACAATCGCACAAAATTCGTACAAATGGTGGCATTTTAAATTGTTTTAGTGATATTTATCTTAACTAGTAAGATATTTTTTTAAATGGCAGTCTTCTATTTATTCAAATTTAGAAAAATAGCATTTGTGTATTGCCAAACTTAATGGAATATTTGTGGCTTATTTCGAGTCTGTACAAATAAAGTTTGTGTGTGCGTGTGTGTGTGTCTCTACAAGAGATGGCCTGTATAGTTTCATGGAAAAGGATTAGCATAAATGGATATTTAGGTTCCGTAAATTTCTGATCGGGGAAATCGAACCACTTTACTGGCTTATTTGTGCTAATTGCAAAAGTACTCAGGGGATATACGATGTTTCTCTTCAGGCAACTTGAAGTCAACACAAGATTGCGCATTTCAGGGGTTACTGTGATGTAGTTAAAGGTCTCGAGGTTACAACGGGGTCAAATGCTTCAAGCGTCACTGTGAGGTCGAGGTATTTAGGACCCCATAGCTAAGTGATGATCTAGGTAAAAGTCCAGGAAATACATGGGACTTTAATTAATGTCGGGTAGAAGTGTTTACCTAGTCATACATTTTACCTTCCCTTCCTCCTGTAACGCTACGTTGGTTTGAGATTGTGAATACTTATTTATTTAATTTTAAGGAGAGCTGATGGATGCCCCTCCCCCCAAGAGGGCATCTAAATGCCCCCATTTATTTGCTTAATTTCAAGCTTAATATTATGCAAGCGACAATCCTTCATTTTAGACCTTAAATTTGCGCAACTGGTGCAAGGTGTGTTATTAATTAGATTAATTCTAATGGATATTGCAAGGTAACTTCCTATGTAGTGAATAGCATAACTAGCCTTGCTTGGTGAA